TATCTAGATGATCGAGGCTGGATTTTATATACCTATTGCTGCCGTCTCGGGCTTCTGGCTCCTTGTTGGCCTCCTGGGTCCTCTTTTAGTTCCCAAGAGTCCAAATAGAGGGTTGGTGTTTATGTTTTTTTTAACTTCTTTAGTATATGGATAACGTCCATTGTGTTGACCGCCATATGTTGCTATATATTGTAAGTTTATTCCGTACAGTTTCACTTCCTAGTTGGTTCATATTCTTCCTGGCGCAGTGGCACCCTTTGTACGGCCCTGTTCTGTCAAATGAGCTCATCCGACTCATCAATATGGCTTGGGGTGTAAGTCTTCTTTGGATCCAAATATTTTATCATATTTCCTAGGAGCATGCAAAGTTGAAAACAGTTGTGTACTAAAATACTTGTTTTATATCCTTTTCTTTGTAGACCGTCTAAATGATCGGAGAAAATGGCGTTCCCTGCGTCTTTTTAGCTAAAACGTGATTGATTATCTCTTGTACCTTATTTTCACACAACGCTTTATGTCTTTCTTTCAAAAGCCACGTTATTACTTTCATTCAATGCGCTCGAACTAAAGCAACATCTCTTTACGGTCCACTAGCCGGCATTATTTACCTGTGTCTCCTTTGTTGATTAGGAAGCCATTTTTGATCTCAAGAAATTTCCTGCAGTTTGGGACATTAAAAACAGCCAAATGATTAGCCTTACAAACCTTCTAATCATAATCTCTCACCACGGTCTCCACTATATTGCGCGGTCCTTGGTCTGCTGGTGCAAACAACTCAACACGTTCCATGGAATTCATTCTTGGGCTGATTCGGTACACCGACGTTCATCTTCCATTTCGTCTCTAGAGTGTATTTCGCGCGGTGGAGCGGGATACTATATTCACGCCAAATACATTCGTTTTACTACGACTGCTATCCAGTAATTAATTTGATGAACTTTATTGAATCACGACGAACTCGCCTGTCTTTGCTTGCCTGCCACACTTGACGGCTGGCCAACTATAGTTTAAGTTAAGTCACACAGACGTAACCATGAATGAAATGAAGTGCTTGCATCTGGTGGCTTTTTAATAAGCAGAGTATGGCGAGAAATGTTGTGTAGACGGAAGAGGGAGATTTGAATGCCCATTTATTCTCATTAGTCCGCCCCGTCAACAAATCAAACCGGAAAGACTTCTATCTTCTTGGTCATTTATCATTTAACTTAAGAAGTTCAACCACTTGAACCACTGGTTCAGTTCTTCAAGATTGCGCCTGGGAATGCGTAAAGTAGAAAGGTAGTGGTCTTTCGCCTGTCTCGTTACTGTTACTTACGCTTTAGATTTGCAATTGTATAGCAGCATCGAATCGGCATACACAAACACTGGCGTTCTGGCCGGAACGCAAAAGTTATTTTCGTGTGATCACAGTATCTTTTTCTAATGCGTCTTCG